CTCGGTGAACAGCACAGAAGAAACACCGGTAAGGAAAGGAAAGAAAAGGAAATAGGGCTGTTGTCTGGCCTGTTACAGCCCCACAGAGAGGGTCTCTAGCCCGATGGATCTCTTGCGGGAGCCAGGAGTCCCATGAGGGCATCTCCTGGGGTGGAAGGGGAGCACCTCGGGCATGGTGGGCGGGTGTGCAGAGGCAGCTCCTCCAGGGCCGTGGCTGGGGACATGGGGACAGCCCCGCGGTGCTGCGCGAGGTAGCTCTGCTGCATGGTGACACCCTGGTGTGTTTTCCCCTCAGCTCACCTGCCAGAGCTTTCAGTGCTCTGGGGAGAGGTGTTACCAGGATGAAGCCCACGCCAACAAAACGGTGACCTGCCGTAATGAGACTCGCTGTGAGGTACGGAGCTTGCTGCGACAGAGGTGCGGGGGGCTATGACAGGGAAAGTCTGTTTTCCCTTTCTTTACATCAGGAATCCACAGCACTCTGTTGTCTGTGTCAATCTCCTGTTTTCCTTCTCTCTGTTGCAGTCTGTCAGTTATTTTTGCTCCTTCGTAATGGCATCTCTTCACACTCCTAGTATTTTTTCCTTTGGCTCTGCTATTGCAGCTGTATCGTTTCTCCAGCACGAACTACACAGCCCGGTGCAGCAGCGCGTGCGGCACAGAGATGTGCAGGACCAACAGCAGTGTGAGCACGCAGCAGTGTGCCCTGGACTGCTGCGACTCCCCGCTCTGCCTGCAGCTCAATGCCAGCTCCTACGGTAACTGCCCGCAGGGTCCCCGGCGGCGGTCTGAGGGTCTGAGGTTAATTTCGCTGTGCAGGAGGGAGGCGGGTGGGCAGAGCCCCATTCCAGAGGGCTGGCTGTGGATGCAGCAGCACATCTCCTCTGCCTGGGGCCTGCCCTCCCTCAGAGCTGGGCGAGGGGAGGGGGTGGCCCAGCAGCTCCGGCCGCAGCGTGAGTGGTGCTGATGAATCTGTCCCGTGTGCGGCTGTGGAGGGCTCTGTGTGGGCTGTGTGCTGGGCGCAGCCTCACAGGGCTCCTCGTGTGTCTGCAGGTGACCTGCCACCCGCCACTGCGCCGCCTACGACCACCACCACCACCCGAGCTCCCCCCCCAAACGTAGG